GCTGTTAAAAACTACACTGAGAGCAATGGGTGGCGGAACTTTCAAGCATTGGGATACACACTTACCAAAGGCCACCTGGTTGGTCAACACCAGAGGATCTGCCAACAGGGCTGGCCCAGCCCAGTCAGAACTTTTACATATTGTAGAGGGGGACAAAGTTCCAGTGGTGCATATGAAGAATTTGCTGGGGAAGACAGTCTGGGTAATTCCTGCTTCAGGTAAAGGCAAACCCACTCGTGGGATTGCTTTTGCTCTGGGACCTGGATATACTTGGTGGGTAATGCGGGAAGATGGGGAAGTCCCATGTATACCTCAAGGGGATTTGATTTTAGGGGAAAACAGCTAGTGAACTCAATTGTATGCTGTTGCCTGCTGTGTAATGCTTTTATAGCCCATCAACTAGATGTCCCCAGGTTACCAGCAACTGGCCCTGACTTCCCTCCAGCCATCGTCCCAACAGAGAATGAACTTTGAACATCATGGACCGAATGGACTCGGCAGCATTATAGGGATTGGTCCATGCACTAAGAAAATGATCTTTTCCTCTTGGTCTGTATGTATATGGATGTATATATATGGGAGAGCGATGGTGTATTGAAAATGTGGGATCTGAGCACGACGTTGTCGTGGTTTAAACCCAGTCAGGTAATTCGTTCGCTCACTTCCCCCCCTTTCTTGCCCTCCCCCTGCTCTCGGAGGGACGGAGAGGAGAATCAAAAGAATGCAACTCCCACGGGTTGAGCTAAGAACAGTTTAGTAACTAAGGTATAACACAAATCACTACTGCTACCACCAATGATAATAATGATAAAGGAAATAACAAGGGAACTGAATACAACACCTCACCACCCGCTGACCGATAACTCGCCCCCCAAGCCCGACCAAGCTCCGACCGATACCTCCTCCAACCCTGCAGTCTCCCAGCCCTTCCGGCTAACTCCCAGTTACATCCTGGGCATGACGTGCTGTGGTATGGAATACCTCTTTGGTCAGTTTGGGTCAGGTGTCCTGTCTCTGCTTCCTCCCAGCTTCCCCTCCTCCCTGGCAGAGCATGAGGCTCACAAAGTCCTTGGCCAAACCAAAACATCTCTATCAGCTCTGTTCCCGAGCCGAAAGTCAAAACACTGCACTGCACCAGCTACCAAGGAGGAGAAACATGACTGCTACTGCTGTACCCAGGACATTATCCACCCCTTATTCCATACCATTCACGTCATGCTCAGATCCCACATTTTCAATATACCATCACTCTTATCTCGGTGCACTCTTATCTTAGTGCATGGACCAGTCCCTATAAAGCTGCTGAGTCCATCTGGTACATGTCAGGCTCCATCTCTTATACCAGTCAGAGCAGGAGAGAATGTGTGCAGTGTTCACACTCGTGAATAATCTGGGCAATAGTGTCCATTGCTAAGTCCACCCCTCGATCATGAGTCCATCTCTATGTTGCATCTCTGCTCTGATGGCCTGAAGTGCCATGGGCCCACCAGGCTCAAAATAATTCACTGTCCCCTTCAGCAGTTTCTGCAGCTTGTTGCTGGGGACTCCATACAGCTGCCTTCCATCTCCGACGCTTCCAAAGCACTGGAGGGGCCCAGTGGACTAGATACTTGCCCATACTGTCACACACACCCTGCCACTCATGACTGTCCAGCCTTGGGGAAAACCTCTTGGTCCCCCTATATTGTCGTCTAACCCCAGACAAGACCCAAACCTGACTCTGCTTAACTTTTGAGATCAGACAAAATGGTTGTGGGTAGAACACAGTCTGTGTGTGTGCCAACATGCTGATCCCCATCACAATCAGCAGGCAGGTCCCAAGGATACCCAAAGGCCATTCGAAACCTTCAGAACTCTCAAACGATGCTGCTGTACTTGTCACTGGGGCTGGTGTAGCCTCTGTGCTTGCCGGCTCTCCCACCGCCAGCTTCTCTTTTCCTGAGTCCAGCTCTTCCTCCTCTGCCTTGCTGGGAAACGCTGCGTGGTCTCCTGCGTCCTCCTGGGGCTCGGCAGGCGGCTTCCGGGAAACGCTCTCGGCCGTCGCGGGGCTGGGCTCCTCCGCGGGGCTGGGCTCCTCCGCGGGGCTGGGCTCCTCCGCGGGGCTCGGCTCGGCCGCGGGGCTCGGCTCCTCCGCGGGCCTCGGCTCCTCCGCGGGGCTCGGCTCGGCCGCGGGGCTCGGCTCCTCCGCGGGGCTCGGCTCTTCCGCGGGGCTCGGCTCCTCCGCCGCCTTATCCCGCTGCTCGGCAGCCGCTTCCTTCTGCTCCTCGACCGCCCCGGCCTCCTCCACCGGCAGCCGTCCCCTGGCGGCCTCCGGCCCCGCTCCCGCCGCCGCTTGGTCCCCGGGGCCGCTCTCCTGAGCCGCTTCGGCTGCCGCCGGCTCCCGGGGCCGCTCCCCCTCGGCTCCCCGCAGCCTCACGAAGATGGAGAGTAGGGCGAGGGCCAGGACGGTGAAGAGCAGCCGGACGGCCAGGTACAAGTCCACGGCCACGTCCGTCCCGCCCTGCTGCTGGAGCCCGCCCGTATTACAAGCCGTTGCCATAAAGCACAGTGAGACAAGAACCTTAGCCCAGGCCCCACACTTGATAAACACTAACACAGCAAATACCGGCTCTAAGTAAGTTACAACGGTCTGAAGCTGTGAGATCAACAAGAACAACTCTGAGAGCCAATAAATCAGCATTGTGACGAGTGACTATTAATCCAGTCAGATCTGTCGTTATCTCAACCCTTCGTGCCCCACGCTGGGCGCCAAAAAGAACTGTCGTGGTTTAAACCCAGTCAGGTAATTCGTTCGCTCACTTCCCCCCTTTCTTGCCCTCCCCCTGCTCTCGGAGGGACGGAGAGGAGAATCAAAAGAATGCAACTCCCACGGGTTGAGCTAAGAACAGTTTAGTAACTAAGGTATAACACAAATCACTACTGCTACCACCAATGATAATAATGATAAAGGAAATAACAAGGGAACAGAATACAACACCTCACCACCCGCTGACCGATAACTCGCCCCCCAAGCCCGACCAAGCTCCGACCGATACCTCCTCCAACCCTGCAGTCTCCCAGCCCTTCCGGCTAACTCCCAGTTACATCCTGGGCATGACGTGCTGTGGTATGGAATACCTCTTTGGTCAGTTTGGGTCAGGTGTCCTGTCTCTGCTTCCTCCCAGCTTCCCCTCCTCCCTGGCAGAGCATGAGGCTCACAAAGTCCTTGGCCAAACCAAAACATCTCTATCAGCTCTGTTCCCGAGCCGAAAGTCAAAACACTGCACTGCACCAGCTACCGAGGAGGAGAAACATGACTGCTACTGCTGAACCCAGGACAGACGTGAATGGTATGGAATAAGGGGTGGATAATGTCCTGGGTTCAGCAGTAGCAGTCATGTTTTTTTTCCTTTGTGGTAGCTGGTGCAGTGCTGTGTTTTGACTTCCAGCCTGAGAACAGTGTTGGTGAAGTCGATGTTTTCAGTTGTTGCTGAGTGATGTTTACCCTGACCAAGGACTTTGTGAGGCTCATGCTCTGCCAGGGAGGAGGGGAAGCCGGGAGGAAGCAGAGACGGGGCGCCTGACCCGGGCTAGCCAGGAAGGTATTCCATACCACAGCACGTCATGGCCAGGGTGGGGAGTGACTGGGAGTTACCCGGAAGGACACGGGCTTCCGGGTGGAACTTGTTTTCTTGGCCGGTGGTATCGTATTCTCTTCCCTTGTTATTTTCCCTTATCGTTGTTGTAGTTGATAGTAGCGGTGGTGATTTGTTGCTGGACTGTTCTTGTCTCAACCCGTGGGAGTTGCACTTTTTCGATCCTCCTCCCCATTCCACCGGGAGCGGGCAAGGGGAGAACCCCGGGGGGGGGGGGGGGACGACACGGACCTCGATTGTTGTCAGCTCGGCACCACTCACTGGGAGTGAGTGAACAAGTTGCCTGACTGGGTTTAAACCACGACACAGGTACAGTCAATATCAATGGAAACAGCACGGAGCAACTACCCAGCAGGACTGGGTTTACTCTGCAAAATATTCAGTGGTACATTTAACCATAATTTCTTCAGGGTTTGGTTTTTTTTTTGACAGTTTCAGCTGAAAAGACAAAAGTATAATAATATTACTATATGAGTAAATTTACATGTGTCCTTCATCTGCATATAGCACCAGCATCACATTTCATACAGAGAAAATGGAGGTTGAGAGTGAACTTTTGGCCCAAATAAAGTCAGTGGGAGTTTTGCCATGGCCTTTAGAGGACCAGCTTGTTACCAGAGGACAGCCTGAGTCAGTATAACCCATTCTTATTTATGGACTTTATTTGTGAACACAATTTTTGCTTTAGTGGTTAGAGTGTGTTGAAAATACTGACCTTCTGAGCTAACGAAAGGCAAAAGCAGGAAAAAAAAAGAAGTGATTTGTGTGCACGATAAAAGTGGGGGTTTTTTGGTTGCTGTTTTTTTTTGTTTGTTTGTTTGTTTTTTTTCCAGAGCTGAAGAGCCACCTTTATTGTGCCGGTAGAGGGGGATCACAGTGGTCGCTCAGAGATGAAACACGGTTGGTGCCACTGAGGTGTCCAGGCCGCGCGTCGGGAGTTTGGGCCCGATCTTGCAAGTGGGAGTTGTCTCGCACCCACGTGGGGCTAGCGGGGATGGAGCTGCTGCCGCTTTCCAGTGCTGCGGAGTCAGAGGATGCTGCCGATGGCCGATGCCTGCTGGTTCTGGGGCTCCTGGTCTCAGGTATTGGCGAGCCCTGGGACAGCCCCTCACTGCCTGGCTGTGGGTGCTCCTTTCACCACGTGGTGCTGGCGGTTGGCTTCTCTCTCGCTGTCTTCTGAGCCGCGTGTAGGCAGCTTGGGTGTGACAGTTCAACTGGGAGCACGCTGGGGAGCCGTGGCACGGCCCGATTGTTGCAGTGCCAGTGTGTGGTGCCAGGGAACTGTGGCATGGCTGTATTGCCTCCTGTCTGTCAGTGCTGCAGCTGCTGCTCCCTGATGACTCGACTGTCACTGCTGCAGAGCTGCTAGCACGTGCTGGGGAGCGCTGGCGTAGCCCCGACACAGCCCGTCTGCATGTGCTCCTCTTTGCACGTGGTGCTGGCGTGTGGCTGCTCTAACGGTGTCTTTTGCGCCGCGTGTTGGGAGTTTGGACCCGGCGTTGCGAGCGGGAGCGGTCTCACACCTGCACGGGCCCCGTGGATCCTGAGGCGCTGTCTCTTTGACGTGTTCTGGAGCCACGGGATGACGCTGATGGCCGCTGTCTTGTTGTGCTGTGGCTGTGGCTCGCACGTTCGCGTGAGCCCTGGGACCGCCTGGGCGCAGCCAGTCTGCGGGGGCTCCTCCCAGCTCGAGCTGCTGGTGTGTGGCTGCCCTGGGAGCGTCTTCTGGGCCGTGCATAGGGAGCTTGGGCCCGACGCTGCAAGCGGGAGCGGTCTCGCACCCGCATGGGCCCACCGGCTCTGTTGCTCCTGCTTCCTTGCAGTGGTGCAGGGCCATGGGATGCCGCCGATGGCTGCTGCCTGGTGGTGCTGCGGCTGCGGGTCTCACGTGGTGGGGAGCATTGGGACAGCCTTGGCACCGCCTGGCTGCTGGTATTGCTCGCAGCGCGTGTTGCTGGCGGTCGGCTTCTCTCCTGCAGTCTTCTAGGCCATGTGTAGGGTGCCTGGGTCTGACGGGTGCCCCGGGTTTGGTGTTGCCGTCGGTCAGGCCCAGGCTGGCTGGAGCAGCTGCAGCCCTCAGACACTGGGCAACTGGGGAATGGTGCTGATGGCATCTGTCTGCTGCTGCTGGGGCTGCTGGTCTCCTGTGTCTGAGGTTCAGGAGACTGGCCCGGTGCTGCTGGGCTGGCAGTGCTTTTAGGGATTGTCTTCCAGGACCGGGGCAGGGTCCTGAGCCGTGCCCCAGTCCGCCTGGAGCAGACAGGCTGTGCCAAGCTCACACCAGGCACCCTCTGCTGGGCCTTGCCTGACCCCTGGCCCCAGCCCAGGGTCACCCGGGTGCTTTGACACTTGGAGGTGCCCAGGCCAGCACAGCTGTCACACTGCCATCTGCCCTCATAGCTGTTTGTCAGGTTCGAGCAGCGTCTGTGAGTGCCCTCAGCAGCGCAGGAGCGGCACAGGAACAGCTGCCAGGGCCCATTTTGCTCAGCCACCCGCCTGCCTCCTGGACAAAGGCACTCCCTGGCATCGCAGCTCGCGTGCCTCTGCTGCCGTTCTGTGGATGCATCGTTGTCTTCCCATGACGCTTTTCTTACGGGGAGTCGGATCCCCATGGAGAGCATTTCTGTTAGAAACAGTCTCCTGTTTTGGCACAGAGGGCACACCAAGGAAAAAGCGCCAGCATTCATAGCCTGTCCCTGGATGCAGGCCCTGTGGAACCAGGCGTGTTTGCATGCTGGGCACACCATGGTCCCATAGGTGGTTCTGCCTTCCACAGGGTCCTTGCAGATGAGGCAGTTGGCGTCCTCTGGAGCCGCCAGCTCTTGCTGCTGTGGGCGGTGCTCCCAGCAGAAGGAACTGTACGGCAGGAGGTAACGGGTGACGCATTCACCCTCCACGGCACAGGGGAGATGGAACCTGCGGTCGCAGCCCGTCTCCTGGCAGGTGATGGTGGCCCCCCTCTTGCCACACACAAAGCAGACCATCCGGGCTGCCAGCTTGGCTGTACGATCAACCTCTTCAGGAAGAAATTCCATCACTTCTTCCTGCTCGGTCCCTTGTGGACGAAGGTCACTGGCAAAAAGCAGGCAAAGGTGATGAGCATAGATCCCCTGATATCTCAGTTTTGGCCCGCACATGTCCGGATCTGCCTTTACACGGCAACACAGAATGCATTCGTGCTCCATCGCGTCGGGTGTCCTGCAGCTCCTTGCGGAGGTGTCAGACATCAAAGGTTGGCAGTGCTGGAGCTTCTTCTCCAAACGCTCCTCTGCTACCTCTGAGGGAGAAGAGAGACGCGCGTGAGTTTGCAGCACAGGCCCAGAGCCCTGCGGTGTGGAGCCCCCTCCTCCCTCGGCAGCCCCCCGAGAGTCCTGTCCCTGCCCTCTACTCCCCGCACCTCACCAGGTCGCAGTGATGCACTGTGCCCAGCGTTCTCTTTTTATAGGCCTGCCCCTGCCACCGGTCAGAGTGGCCTCTGTGACATCAGCACTGCTGGCCTGCGTGCACCCCAAACACGGGCACGGGCATCCTCGGCCACACACCACCCACTGTGACACGGGCTCTTGGCACCCAGGTCGCCGGGGCGGCTGCTCCACTTGCAAGCGCAGACTCAAGGGCCAGCTTAGGGGCATGGTTTCCTGGTGAACTTGGCGGTGTTTGCTTAACGGTTGGACTCGATGACCTTTATGGCCTTCTCCAGCCTAAATGATTCCTGTGACTCTCATTACCATTCCACTATTATTTTATCACCATTTGCTTACGCTATGGTTAACATTTAAAAGATTTAAAAGCTTATCAAGGGGCGTTTCAGCTCTGTATTTGGCACTACTGGGGTCTGCATTAATGCGTGTAAGTTACCTGTAAAATGGGAGCAATGAGGTGGTCAAATTAATGCCTGAATGGGTGTGTGTTTTCTTGAGCGGTTACGTATGCTTTTTGCCCTTTTTTTTTTAAAATGACAAAATCTGTTTTAAGTGTAGGTTGTCTTTCATGAGCATTTGTAACTTTGCCAGGTACTTAGTAACCTGTCAGCGTGTCAGAAGTCACTGGCACTGGGGTGCATGATTGTGGGGGGTGAGCCGTGAGGGCCCGGCCGGCTGGGTGGGTGGGTGGGTGGGTGGGTGCAGGAGGTGGGTCAGCAGGAGGTGCTGCTGACATCTAGGGAAAGGACAATGCGCTGGGCGCAGTCCCTCATGCTGCCCCTTGAGAAAGGCAGGGGAGGAGGAAGCCAACCAAGGAGCCTGGAATCTCCCAGTCCAGATCTGAAGTGCGTACAGGGGCAACAGCTGCTACTCAAACTTTGGCTGATATGAACAGCACAGCTACCCCAGCGGCAAGTACAGCAGCTGCTCAAACTTCAACCGCAACAGACAGCGCGGTTACCCCAGCTCCAAGCACAGCAGCTGCACCAACCCCAGCGACAAGTACAGTCGCTACTCAAACTTTGGCCTCAATGAACAGAGCAGCTACGCCAGTGGCAAGTACAGCAGCTGCTCAAACTTCAACCGCAACAGACAGCGCGGTTACCCCAGCTCCATGCACAGCAGCTACACCACCCCTAGCAACAAGTACAGTTGCTACTCAACCACAGTGATAATCACTGCAGCCAAACCAGAGGACCAATTCGTACCAATATCGGTTGCCCCTGTACGCAAGAGAACAAGCAAAAAGGAGGCAAAAAGGGTGAAACGAGATGAAGAAACAAGGAATTCACCACCCGCTCCAGAATCTGATCAGGAGTCATCATCACATGACGAAGAAGAAGAAGAAGAGGTAACTTCTCGACCTCGGACCTCAACCGAGCTGCGGAATATGCAAAAAGATTTTACCCGTCAACCAGGGGAGCACATCATCACCTGGTTACTCCGATGCTGGGACAATGGGGCCGATGGTCACGAACTAGAAGGTACAGAAGCCAAGCAGCTGGGATCACTTGCTAGAGAAGGCGGAATTGACAAAGCAATTGCAAGAGAGAAAAAGTCCCTCAGCCTTTGGAGGCGGCTCTTGGCAGCTGTGAAAGGAAGGTTTCCGTACAAGGACGATGTTACGAATCGTTCGGCCAAGTGGACTACTATAGACAAAGGCATCCAGTCTCTGAGGAAATCGGCCATCGTAGAGATGATCTATCACATCAAGCTGAATGACGGGCATACACCTATAGATCTAGATGATGTTGAATGTACACGACCCATGTGGCGAAAACTTACACGGAATGCACTGTCATCATATGCCCATTCATTGGCAACAGTAACCTGGAATGACATAGTACCACTAACTGTGGATGAAATGGTTCATAAACTCCGAGAGTTCGAAGACAATCTCACCCCTTCCATCATCTCAGCTGTGAAAAAACTGTCCCAGGACCTCGAACAATTGAGGGACGATCTATCTGATTTATCCAGCTCCTCACGTGTACCAACATACGTCTCAGCTATTAACAAAAGGCATCCTATTGTTCAAGAGAGGAGATACAGGAGGTATACGCCACGGGGTACCCTATGGTTTTACCTGCTGGATCACGGAGAAGACATGACAAAGTGGGATGGAAAACCTCCTTCAGCTTTGGAGGAACGGGTGAGTGAACTGAAGAGGGGAGCAAGGGCCAAGACTGATCGTCCCATGAGAGCTACGGCTTCAGTCTCTGGTGAGCAGTTTCTCAGATGGAATGGAAGAGCTGATTTTACTCCAGCTCCTGTGATAACGAAGAATAATCCCTTTCACCACGACTTAAGTGTCCAAGGCTGTGACGACCATTAGAGGGGCCCTGCCTCCAGCCAGGTGGAGGTAGGGGACAATCGGATTTACTGGACTGTGTGGATCAGATGGCCTGGCACATCAGTCCCACAGAAGTATAAGGCTCTAGTAGATACCGGTGCACAGCGTACCCTGATGCCATCAAGCTGTCAAGGGGTGGAACCCATCTATATTTCTGGAGTGACAGGAGGATCCCAAGAGTTGACTGTGCTGGAGGCTGAAATCAGCCTGACTGGGAGGGAATGGCAAAAGCACCCTATTGTGACTGGTCCAGAGGCTCCATGCATCCTCGGCATAGACTACCTCAAGAGAGGGTACTTCAAAGACCCAAAAGGGTACCGGTGGGCTTTTGGTATTGCTGCTTTGGAGACTGAGGAAATTGAGCAGCTGTCCACCTTGCCTGGTCTCTCACAAGATCCCTCTGCTGTGGGGTTGCTGAAAGTTGAAGAACAACAAGTGCCAATTGCGACCACAACAGTGCACCGGCGGCAATATCGCACCAACCGAGACTCCCTGATTCCCACCCATCAGCTGATCCGTGGACTGGAGAGTCAGGGGGTGATCAGCAGGACCCGCTCACCCTTTAATAGCCCCATATGGCCAGTGCGAAAGTCGAATGGAGACTAACAGTAGACTATCGTGGCCTGAATGAAGTCACACCACCATTGAGTGCTGCCGTACCGGACATGCTAGAACTTCAGTATGAACTAGAGTCAAAGGCAGCCAAGTGGTATGCCACGATTGATATTGCCAATGCATTTTTCTCAATTCCTTTGGCAGCAGAGTGCAGGCCACAGTTTGCTTTTACTTGGAGGGGTGTCCAGTTCACTTGGAACCGACTGCCCCAGGGGTGGAAACACAGCCCTACCATTTGCCACGGACTGATCCAGACTGCACTGGAACAGGGGCAAGCTCCAGAACACCTGCAATACATTGATGACATTATTGTGTGGGGCGATACAGCGGAAGAAGTCTTTGAGAAAGGGAGGAAAATAATCCAAATCCTGCTGAAAGCCGGTTTTGCCATAAAACGGAGTAAGGTCAAGGGACCTGCACAGGAGATTCAATTTTGGGGAATAAAATGGCAAGATGGACGTAGACAGATCCCCACAGATGTGATCAACAAGATAACAGCAATGTCTCCACCAACTAATAAGAAAGAAACGCAAGCTTTCTTGGGTGCAGTGGGGTTCTGGAGAATGCACATCCCGAATTACAGTTCGATTGTAAGCCCTCTCTATCATGTGACCCGGAAGAAGAATGATTTTAAATGGGGCCCTGAGCAGCAACAAGCCTTTGAGCAAATTAAACGCGAGATAGTTCATGCAGTAGCCCTTGGACCAGTCCGGACCAGACCAGATGTAAAAAATGTACTGTACACTGCAGCTGGGGAGAACGGTCCTACCTGGAGCCTCTGGCAGAAAGCTCCAGGGGAGACTCGAGGTCGACCCCTCGGCTTTTGGAGTCGGGGATATAAAGGATCTGAGGCCAGCTATACCCCAACTGAGAAAGAGATACTGGCAGCCTATGAAGGGGTTCGAGCTGCTTCGGAAGTGATTGGCACTGAAGCACAGCTCCTTCTAGCACCCCGGTTGCCCGTGCTGGGCTGGATGTTCAAAGGCAGGGTCTCCTCTACACATCATGCAACTGATGCTACATGGAGTAAATGGGCTGCACTAATTACACAACGAACTCAAATAGGAAATCTCAGTCATCCAGGCATTCTAGAAGTCATCATGGACTGGCCAGAGGGCAAAGATTTTGGAATGTCACCAAAGGAGGAGGTGGTGCGCGCTGAAGAGGCCCCACCATATAATAAACTGTCAGAAAGTGAAAAGCAGTGTGCCTTGTTTACTGATGGCTCTTGCCGTATTGTGGGAAAGCATCGGAGATGGAAGGCAGCTGTATGGAGTCCTGGACGACAAGTTGCAGAAACTGCTGACAGAGAGGGTGAATCAAGTCAGTTTGCCGAGGTGAAAGCCATCCAGCTGGCCCTGCACATTGCTGAACGAGAAAAGTGGCCAGTACTTTATCTCTATACTGACTCATGGATGGTGGCAAATGCCCTGTGGGGGTGGTTGAAGCAATGGAAGCAGAGCAACTGGCAACGCAGAGGTAAACCCATCTGGGCTGCTGCACGGTGGAAAGATATCGCTGCCCAGGTGCAGAACCTGGTGGTGAAGGTACGTCATGTAGATGCCCATGTACCCAAGAGTCGGGCCACTGAGGAACACCAGAACAACCAACAAGTGGATAAAGCGGCTAAGATTGAAGTGGCTCAGATGGACTTAGATTGGCAACATAAAGGTGAATTATTTTTGGCCCGGTGGGCCCATGACACTTCAGGCCATCAGGGCAGAGATGCAACATATAGATGGGCCCGTGATCGAGGGGTGGACTTAACAATGGACACTATTGCCCAGGTTATTCA